TCCTTAAGAAAGCAGGCTGAACAAATTTCCACGAGGCTGAAGTTGCCAAAAGAGCCTCCAGATCGAAGACAGACTGGCGATCGATTTCAGCCCACAAGATGTCACTAGTAGATTGCAGTGGACATATGTTGTTTTTCAGCCACTCAACACCCATTCTCATAATAGCACCTCAACTTCCCCGTGAGAAAGTACCCCCCTCCGATGGGTGCAGTCTTGGTCAGACAACACATCAGAGTGCCCTGTCCTTCCCCAGTGAAGGCACATCTCTCCTGGGCCTCTGGATCTCAAACATACAATGCAAATTTCCCATTCCCAAACAGTCAGAGGAGATTCACTACAGGTGTGGCCCCTTATGAGCCCTGTTGATTTGTTTCTGTTGCCTGTGTCTCTGGAGCAGCCCCAGCTTTGCTGGTTGAGCCTCGTTCCTTGGCTGTTATTTTGGTCTGTGAGTCACTCCTAGCCTTCTAGTGCTTTCTCTTTTTGTTTAAGCCCAGCAGGTTGCCTGTAACCCAAGGACCCCTAACTGGCACAGTGGGGAACGGAACCAGGCAGATGGGTCGCTCTCCTCATTCCTTCTTTTTTTTTTTTTTTTTAAAGATTTTATTTATTCAGTTTTTCCCCCGAAAGCCCCAGTAGATAGTTGTATGTCATAGGTTCACATCCTTCTAGTTGCTGTACGTGGGACTCGGCCTCACGTTGGACGGAGAAGTGGTGCCTCGGGGCGCGCCCGGGATCCAAACCCGGGCCGCCAGCATCAGAGCGCACGCACTTAACTGCTAAGCCACGGAGCCGGCCCCCCTCATTCCTTCTTTATAAGCATCAGGTATGGCCTCCCCATAAGCCACCATGCACGTGCCCTGAGCCATCCTGGCTTAATGGCCATTCAGAAATTAATTAAGGCTTGATGTAGTATACACATTACGAGTCACAGGCCAAATTCTGAGAATCTATGTTCTATGCCCAGAGGAAGAGACTGCCAGGCTTGCATTCTGAAGTAGCCCATGCAGCTACAAGGGGTTGAAAATTGGTACAGGTGGAGGGGGTGGGGGTGGGGACCAGCCTATAGGCATGTAATACACAGGACAGTATTTCACAACTTTTCAATGACTTTGGGTGGTGCATGCTCTCTCCTGTGGCACAGTCCCATCACTGTCAACTGTATCAGACATATCTCCCTTCACTATTTACATTATCTGCCTGGACCCGATTTGCCGTTGAGACATCATATTATTTTACCTCTCCTACTCCTTTGTATTCCTACCTCATTCTATATCACAGCAAATAGGAAAAAGCACAAGCATGCACACACAAGCACACTTTTTCTCTGCTACACTCCTCCCTTGCTTTCCCACAACTGGAGTACAGCAGCCAAACTTTTAAATTGTAAACACACCATGCAAGGAAAAATATCTGTTTCCCAGGGGAGAGTGCATACAATTAATAACACTCCTTCAACTCATTCAGACCGCAATGTGGAAATATCAGTACCCAGGAATTGTTGGGGTGAACCGAGTGGCTTCCTCCTACAAGCTTAGAAGCAATGTGTGTGTCAAATTTCAAAAGAAAGTTGGAAATGTCCTGCTACTCAGATCTTAGTGGAGGGCACTGCCTTTTCTCTACTCCATCCTTCAAAATCCCAGCTCTCTGGTTGACACAAGCTGGCCATGCAATGACTACGAGGAATTAGGACTGATACACAGGGACACCACCGAAGGGAGTCCAATCCCTTCTTTTTTGGGTGTGGTACTTTTCACACTTATCTAACTGGCCTAAACACAAATCACTAGGGCTGTGCGCAGGCTGCACAGATGATTAAAAGAGAATGAACTTAGGAGTCAATCTCCCTACATTCAGATCCCACCTCTACCAGACACTGAGTCACCTTGGGTGAGTCTTCTAACCTCTCAAAACCTCAAGGGCTGCTTGAGGATTCAACACCCAGCCTAGGAACATAACAAAAAGCCTGAGGTTATTTGTTGCCTGGGTGATGTACAGTTAACCCTAGCGATAGACCTTCACTCACGGCTGGTCAAAGGACTCCACCTGCCTCACTTCCTGCCTGAAATTTATATCACTAGAGTTGGTTCTCTACACTTAAGAACTTCTGCTCCCAGAAAAATCACCTTTAAAATGCAAATGTTAGCTTGGGAGGAAAAGGAGAGCTCTGTCATCTCCCTTCTCCCATCACAGTCACTCAGTGATCACATGGTAACGGAAGGTGGGTGTCTCTCAAGACTGCCTCCCTCTTCGCGTCTTCCCTATCCTCTCTCCATAGTCCATAGGGGACCTCACCCCGACTGTGCCTTCAATGACTTCCTAAAGATTGACAACTCTCAAATTTCTCTCTCTAGTCAGGGAGGTCCTTTGAGCACCAGAACCTCAGACCTAACTTCTTATTTGAGATTTTCACCTGGATGTTCCACAGGCACCTCAAACTCCTCTCCTCATCTCCCTTGTCTCCAATCTGGTTCTTCTCTGGGGTTTTCTGTCTCAATGAATGGTTCCACCCACCATCCAACTCAGCAAGCCAGAAAACTTGACACTCTCTCCCCATAGCCAAATTCTCAGCAAGCCCTGCTGATTTCACCTCGTAAATAACTTTCTGGCCCATCCATTATCTCTCCCTTTCCACTGACCTGTCTCCCAATTCAACTACCGTAATCTCATCCCTGGAAGACCACACCAGTTCCTGGCCATCCTCCCACCCTCTCCAGTCCATTCTCCAACACAACCAATGGATCTTTGAAAATGCAAATCTTATCATGATCTGCAGCTTAATATCCTTGAATGGCTTCTCATTGCTTACAAGATAATGGCCAAAATCCTGAACAAGGACTGCATAGCCCTGCATGGGATAGAACTGCCTACCCGTCCTGCCCATCTCAGGCCACTGTTCCCTGGCCCCAGCTCTCCACGCTAGCCTTCCTGCTCCTGCCCCTCAGGGCCATTGTAAACATGGTTCCCTCAACCGCCACCCCCCCCCCCAACTTCCACTTGGCACATATTTCAGCTGGCTAACTGCTCTGTTTGTCTCAGATCTTATTCCCTATGTCACTTATAGGAGGAAACCTTCACTGACTTCTCAGTCAAGGTCAGGGTCCCCTGTTGTAATAACTCTTAGCACTTTACACTTTCCCATTTTGATATGCAGCATAGACCATGACATGTTTATTGACTGGCTGGAGTCTACCTCTCCCATCAGACCGTAAGCTCAGTAAGGACAGAGACCACGTCTGACTGCTCACCCTTTAATCTCCAACTGCATTAAACATGTGCTTATTTAACATACATTTATGAAAGTATATCCTGTGCCAGAAACCATACATTAGTTTTCCCAAATTATGTAACTTACGGGCTTATGTAGGATCTCACCCTATAGGACATGGAAAACAGTAAATTTCTGAGCAGATTTGAAAGGTGGATGACGTGGGACAAACAGTTAAAATGATGCCAAGTGAAAAGGCCAAGATAAGGAAGAAGAGAGTGCCCAATAGAGATGCTAGGCATGAAGGTGAGTCAGGCTAACAAGGCAGTGGGCAGATCCCAAAGGACACAGTTGATCGAGGGATGGAGAATCGGAGGGTTAGAGCTTGGCAAGGGACTGGAAAAGATAGGAAAAAAAAGATCAGTTCCCCACTCCACAGTGTTTCGAAGGCCAATCCCCTCTCCCTTTACCAAAAGGCTTTACTGAATGTTTCAGTCGCCCAGCAGAGAACTGACCCAAGAGGATCCCAGAAATAGAACAAAATTTCATACGGCCACCCTTTGCCTTGCCAAGCACCCCTCCCCACTCTCCCACTCCTGCCAAATCGCAAGGAATCATCCACCAGCCCCAGGTGCTGAATTATTCAATTATTCTAGCAGCTTTAAAAACACATGTGCAGCTAGAAAATCTCCCAAAACGAAAAGAATTGTGTTATTTAGGCTACTAGGTCACTTCTTGAACCTCTCTTGAATCCTGGTTTGCCGCGTGATTGTTTTTCAATTGAACAGTAGCTCAGTGACACCCCACCCTTCCCAGCAAAAAACAGTGGTAAACGTGTAATCACAAGACGATGTGCTGCTCACTCTGCAGTTACAAGCAGGCGTGTTCCATCCCGATCCTGCACAGCATCCCCCAGGCTCCTACGCTTCCCCAAGACTGAGGTCCCTGCAGCACCTGAAATAAATACTGAAGACGGCAGCAAAGAATCTGAAGAACAACCCCCAACTATCCACGATCCCCCGACACACACACCAAGCTGCCTTATTTCAGTGAAAAAAAAAAAAAAAAAAAAGACATCCACCTTCTAATCTCCATCACAATGCAAAAGTCACTGAAATAATCTGTCTGCACTTGGATCTGGAAGCCCCTTCTTCAACGCCTCACCCACAACCCACCCACCCACTGCATGTCAGCTGTCTGAGATATTTTTTCGAGTAGAACAAACTACAGAGAATGTTTTGGGGAAAAAGAAAAACTAGTCACGAAATGAGCCTTTAAGACTCCATTTTAGCACAGAGCTTCTTCAGGAGCCCTCTATTTCTGGCTTTGAGAAAAGAGAGCATGAAGATGGGTTTGGCAAAAAAATGCAAACATTTGCCAGAGGTGATCTTTAACCCCAAATCAATTATAAAACTCACATAGGAGAGAATGACATTTTTCATTTAATCAAAAGCAATCTGAGCCACAAAGTCTCAGGCACTGCTCTTTAAACCTCAAATACGACTACCAGAGAGAAAGTTATAGTAATAGATAGAGGGGCCATCTCATTGGAAATAGATTAAGGCAAGCTTGCAAATAGTTACTTGCCCACGTAAGAATATATGTCAGCCAAGTGACGGGGTGGGAGCGGGGAGCTGTGTTAGGGAATGAGAAAATATCTTGTTCACACATGTTGTTGCAAGGCAGGACCAAGCTCTGCCATCATCCCCTCTGTCCCAAGTGTTCCAGGATGCCAACGGTCATCAGAAAAAGATAGCATATTCATGCCTCATTCTTCCTCTCCATTCTTCCTTACCATTTCTCCATCTGTTTAGCTCCATCTCCAGATGCTGGATAACATTCTTCAAAGTCTTGTTTTTCTCTTTCTCTTTTTCGTATTTCTTCTTCCATTCTTCCGCTGTCAGTTCCAGGTTCACAGAGACTGTATTCTTGATGGTCTTAGCCCTGGGGTTAAAAACATAAGGAAAAAATTCTGAGCATAGCTATCAGCATTAGCTAAATCATGAATATAAATAAGCCTCAAATTCTTTCACATCAAAAGACTAGCAGCAGGAGGGGTCTTAGGACTTCTATCTCCCACCCTCCTAGCTGTATTGATGGTACTTCTACTCCTAAGCCTCCAAACTCACTTTTCCTTTTCTCCTTCACCTCCTGCCAATCTCTAAATCCAACGGATTTTCATTCAAATTGTCTCTCAGGGTCACTTCTGTCTCTATTCCCTGTCACCATCTTAGTCTATGTTCTCAGCCCTGACTTATTAGCCTTTTTGAAACATTCAGCATCTTCCTTTAGCATCTTGCATATCACTGCCAGATTCATCTCCCTAAGCAGAGTTTCCTTTCAATTCAATTAACATTTATGAAACACTGGGGATATACTAAGACAAATGAGACAAGGTCTCTCGCCTCTTAGAGCTTGCAGTTTCTCATGTCAATAACATACAGACTGAAATAATATAATCAATTGTTTCTCTTCCTCACACTTGGTACCTAGAATCATCCCTGATGTGTTGAACACATGTCAACACAGGCATCCCAACATAGATGGGTCACTTAACCAAGTGAGGCTGGCCAGGTGAAACCACAGCTCCCTGCTGAGCACATGCCCCCATCACAGCCAATGTCAACAAGCAGGAGTGGAGGGCCACTGTTCTCAGATCATCCCATTTATCAAGAAAAGTCAACAATTGAGTCAGAAATTTTTTATGTGTATCTCCCAATTTAAAACAATTTTTCAAAATAATGTGGGGGACAAACAAATATGTCTAATGGCCACCATTTTGCCACTTCTAGTATAAGAGATCAAATGACCTCCTAGGGCGGATGGCCTGGGGGGTGTGATGCTACAGTGGACAGTGATTTGTTACTGATTGGACAATAATTCAAAGGAGCAACTGGTGAGAGCAAAGGCAGTGGCAGCTCTAGATGATACTAAAAACAAAAGACACGATTTACCTGGTTATGCACAGAAATGAACGCATAAGCAGACTTGCCCAATTAAAAAGTAAATTGACCATGGCAGAATTCCACTTATTACTTACTTTTTAAAAATACAAAAATTTCATTTAAAAATATGTGATATCCTGGTTTTTTTGCTATTGACATTTGCATTTTAAATTCCCAGCAGTTCTTGTACTGTCATATTTGCCAGCACTATCTGATATGTGATTCAGGTTAATTATGTTATCATCAAATGACAGTTTGGACATGATTTCTATTTCAGTGAAAGAAATTCCATGGTCCTCACCAGTGCTAAAGATGTCATTCTAAAAATTAATTCCTAAAGCAGACAAGTAAATAACCCAACTGTCAAAAGATGAGTTAAATGATTTCAATGTAAGACACTACTTAAGAATTAGTTTAAATCTCCCTCATTCAGTATAGCTTGAGGCTGCTGTCCCCAGAAGTGCTTCAACTCTAATTTTTCAAATAGCAGCAATTTTATTACTCCTTGAAAGTCTATGCCAGTTTGACACTCTCACCTCGCCTGCTAACATCCTCAGGCAGTGTTGTGGATGTTCCTCAGATACAAGCACAGATACTGCAGCATCTATTATCAACTTAGTAAGTCAGAAAGTGAAAAATAACCTATGTCTAAAATGCTTGTGGACATTTAAAGGTACACTTTGAGGCTACCAGTCTTACTTTTAAATCATAAAGAGTCTCTTCATGATTTCCAATGATACTAGAAAGAGAAAGATAGAGCCTGCCTCTATGCTATAGTCAGGCAGGTTTAGCCAGAAGTACAATTTTGTCAGCAGACCCAGCAAGGTTATCACTGGTGTAACGGTCCTCACTCTTAAAGTTCTTTTAAGCTGCCCAGAAAATTCTCTTTATTCTACTTCTGAAGTAATCAGGGTCCTGGTAGGAAACATGTGGCCCACTCAAACTGCATAATTTGGGGAGAGTTTTACAAAGGTATGAGAAGCGTGTTGGGAAATAACACAGGATAATGCATACCCCACATTAGTGATGAGGAGAGCCCAGAGGGAAGGAGCTATAGGAAGAAGGCTGCCCAATGGGAGCTGTAATAGCCTTTAGTCTAGGCACACAGCCAACCCAAAGTGACCCTTCACAGAAAGAGCCAAGAAATTAATATTCTGACCTCACTCTTTTCTCTCCTTCTGATTGCCTGCCTGTGTTCCAGTTGGTTGAACCTAATTGGCAACCAGAGGCAAGGGAGCCCATTGCCGTTGTTCAAACTGGTCACTGTCTCAGGGTACAGAGCAGACAGAGATGGTACAGAAATGATCCAGAGGAGTAGATGGAAGACATGCAACCAAACTCCCATTTGGAACTTGGAACAATGGTGGAAAACCATGATTCATGTCATTGCCCTAGACTTCATTCAGTCCCAAATGGGGCAGAGCATCATGCCTTTCCATCTACTACAGGTACAATATGAAGAAATTAGCCAACAGTGATAGGGAAAGATGTTAATTCTCCCAAACTTATTCTATAGATTTAAAATAATTTCAAATAAAATCCCAGGAGGTTTGCATGGGTGTACAGAAATTGACACTCTGATTCTAAAATTTATAAGAGAAATGAAAAAGGCCAAGAATAGCAAGACAATTTTGAAGAACAAAGTTAGAGAATGGAATATCAACACTAATTATAAAGCCACAGTAACTCAAACTGATTAAATAGTACAGAAACTTTGGAATAGAAGCAGAATAGATTATCCAGAAATGGACACTCAGCTATATAGTCATCTGATTTACGACAAAGACGTCCATATAGCACAGTGGAAAAGTGAAAACAGTCCTTTCAATATATGGTATGGGGGTGGGGGGGGGTTGACCTTTATCCACTTCCCCTATACCACATCAAAAATTCTATTCCAGATAGATCATACCATAAATGTGAAAGGTAAAACAATAAAGCCTCTAGAAGAAAACATAGGATAACATCTTCAAGACCTTGGGGTAGGCAATGATTTCTTAAATAGGACATAAAGAAAAGATAAATTTGACTTTATTGAAATTAAAAACCTCTCTTCATTAAAAGTCACCATCAAAAGAGTTAAAATGTAAGCCACAAAGTGGGAGAAGATACATGCAATACGTATACCTGACAAAGGACTTACCTATAATAATTTCTAAAAATCAATAAGAAAAAGCATACAACCAGTGAAAACACTGGGCAAAGATTTAAATAGGCACTTCACAAAAGAAGTGCCAATAAATACCCCAAAAAACGGTGCCTAATATCATTAGCCATCAAGGAAATGCAAAATAAAATAAGATACCTTTATACACCTAAGAGAACAGCTAAAAAATTTTTAACTGATAATACCAAGTGTTGGTGAGGATGTGCAGAGACTATAACACTCAGTTGCTACTAGAAGGAATTATTCCAATCGTTTCGGAAAACTCTTTGGTACTATCTATTAAGGCCAAACATCTCATATCCTATGAGCTAGCAATTCCACTCCTAGGTATACAACCTACAGAAATAAGGACATATGTTCACCTAAAGACATGACAACCAATGTCATAGTAACTTCATTTACAATAGTCCCAAAATGAAAACAATTCAAATACCTATTAACAGTAAATTCATATAGTAGATATTCATACAACGAAATACTATATAACTACAAAAAATAAACTACTACTACAGCTAACAATGTAGTGAATTTCAAAGATACAATGTTGCATAAAAGAAGCCAGATACAAAACATTACTGTATGTTTTTATTTGAATAAAGTTCAAAGAGAGGCAATAGTAATCTATGTTGATAGAAAAATAAACTGATATAGAAAGAAATCAAGTCAGGCCAGCCCTGTGGCTTGGTGGTTAAGTGCGCGCGCTGCGATGCTGGCGGCCCGGGTTCGGATCCCGGGTGCGCATCGAGGCACCACTTCTCTGTCCAGCCTGAGGCCGAGTCCCACATACAGCAACTACAAGGGTGTGCAGCTGTGACATACAACTATCTACTGGGGCTTTGGGGGCAAAAAATAAATAAAATCTTTAAAAAAAAAAGAAATCAAGTCAGATACAAGAATTTCTAGATCGTGGAATAAACTAGAGTTACTAAGAGAGATACTGAATCTCTGCCTGGAGTTATTTTTTTTTTTAATAGAACAAATATTCTTCCTATCTACGATGTTGAAATCAAGCTTGCAAAGTGGAATAACAAGTCCATCTTCCCATGAGAGATCTAGAGTAAAAGGATGTTGAACATCTACAATCTATCTTGCTTTCTACCATGAACTTTAGGAAAATTTACAGAATAAAGGAGCCTAACGGGGGGGGCGGAGTCAAGATGGCGGCGTAGGCAGACTCTGAACTCACCTCCTCCCGTGGACACAGCCAATTTACAACTACTCGTGGAAAAATTACCCCTGAGAC